GTCAACTAGACTCTCATCAAAGGCCTCATCAACACGACAGCCATCGACACTGATCCTCAACAAACCCTTCTCCATACCGGCGTGACTCCGATCTTCAACCAGATGGAACTGGATAATATTCTGATTGTTCCAAACCAATCTGACTTCTGACCTATAATGCTGCCTGAATCATAATCATACACTGTTCATTCGTTGGCCAGAGAAGAAACGACTGAGCCTGGTTTCGTTTTTTTTCTCCATCCTGCCACCTGATGGAGTTTTGGTAACTTGCCACTGTCGCCTTTTTCGCCTTTGTTGCCATTGGCTTTTGGCCTGCTTTAAGGACATTAAATTTAACATTTAATTTAATATTCATCAATAATATTGATCTGCCTGCATTGACACCATTATATGAGAACTCAACTGAGCTGGACGATGACATCACGGTTTTCTCCAGAGCGGCTATATAAATTAACTAAATTAATAACTTTTTTACAACAAAATGAAACATCACTGTCTGAACTTACTTAAGCTGGACTCTGTGACGCTATTTTCTTCTGGAAACAAACTTTGTTGCATTTTCCTGTTATCTCTGTAAAGCTGCTTTGAAACAATCTGTATTGTAAAAAGAGCCCTGTGCTTACTTCAATACCATTACAAAGAAGTCTCCCTGAGCAGTTATTTTAGAAAAGTGCTCTGAGAAACATCTTCAAAATTAGGAATGTTCAATGCCGTCTCACTTATTATATTTATCTAAAGGGGGAAACATACTCCAGCCACACTTTTTGTGAGGATGATGCCTGAATTCACACAACCCCCCACAGACGCCAAGAACACTGAGTTCCCCAGCACAACACAGCCATTTATGCACTGGAAATCTGTACGAGCCTAAAACGGAGGACACTGCTTACCTATTCATATGCCACAAGTGACAGAGACGATTCAGAAAGAGCAGCCCTTAAAGTCTGAAGCCGGGAGGAAAGCCAGCTTATCTGATGCCTACTTAGAGGCAAGTCAGTGTCTTTGAGCAACTGAAAGAAAGGCTTCACTCATTTGAACTCTATGGATGCTTATAATTGCTGAGAAAGACACTGCAGACTCCAACTAAACAAACAGTTGTCCGTTCAGAGAAGACACAGGCTACATCACAAGAAGGACTGTGGAAATGTCTGGAGTCCGGCTCACAATTAAAGAATTAAATTATTTTTCTACTCAAACATAGAAAACCGAAACTCTGAGTCTGACCCAACGCATGAGGTATTGACGAACACGGAAGCGCGGATGATAGAGCAAAACAACACACCGGTCACGAATAAGAAGTCTAAAACGAGAATTTTTAAAGAGAAATGTCGGAGGAGCTTGAGTTTGTTGCCCAGTCCTACTTGGGTGAACTGTGAGATGCGTATACTCTCACCTAAGCTTACGCTAGAATCAATTTTAGTAAATAAAAACACTATTAACTCCTACATTACGTCATGCATAGGACCAGAGGTCACTCTTCCGCCAGAACTAGACTTGTGTACGGCCGTTTCCGGAAGCCAGTGATTTTATAGTTTATAAAGTTATGAATATAGATATTTTTCTTACAAAAACAATCGCTTCGCTTCAGAAGGCCTTTATTACCATACTGGAGCCGTATGGATTACTTTTATGATGGATGGATGGATGTACTTTTTTGGGCTTCAAAATCTACCATTCACTCACATTATAAGCTTGGAAGAGCCAGGATACTTTTTTAATATAACTCTGATTGTGTTTAGCTGAAGGAAAAAAGTCATATAGGATTGCTTGAGGGTGAGTAAATATTATGTTATAACTAACCCTGGGCCTTTAATCAATGTTGGGAATGAAAAGAAGTGGAAGAATCTGTTATTTCCTTGCACTGCACGTATTTCTTGTGACAGTTAAAGGGTTAAATAAGTCAGTGTAATAAGAGATAGTGAAGAACATCACTTTACACCATCGTTTGTGTGCGGACGTGCTGCTTCCTCCAGCCTTTAGGTATGTAAACATGATCATGTGCTGTAAATGAAAGCACCTGTAGACTCATTCCACACGATTACGCACAGCTCGAGACACGTAAAGTCCTGTTTCCTCTGCATCCGCTTTCCACAACACAGGAAGAGCTCTCCGGCGGATCCGTATGAACACACACACACAGGTCCGCTCTCTACTGACCCAAACCTCAGGACCAAATGTGGAAATCAATGCGACATAGAGCGCTTAAATCGCCATTTAGAGAGAGATCAATGTCTGCGGCTTGGAAACACGTAGTAAAAAGTGACCGCATGAGTCATCGCGCGCTTTATTTACACTGTTTACATGTACACGCGACAAATACAGTAGGTGTGTGTGCTGAGATTTACTGACAAAAACACTCATATACCAAATAAAAACCCATTATACAGTATGTTATCATAAAAACATTTGCTTTAGCGGTGTTGTACATAGGCTACATATTAAAACACAAGCAAAAAGACCACACCATCATCAAAACCAGCTTTCAACCTCCCATTTAGACAAGCACGTACTACGTAATTCGTAAACACAAACAGCAATAATCAGTGTTGTTCCCTGATAAAACCGACACGGAATTCCTATTGACACGGATTATAACACGTCAAAGAAAGTGAAATCCATAATCTCTTGAACCACAGCAGCAGCACTATTTATAGCTAACGGCCTAAATAAATCACAGCACTCCTCCAAACACACACCACAACTTACCAGCCTTCTCCTGGTCGTATCCCACCACTGTGAAATAATCAGCAAGTCTAGCCATGGTTTCCTCTTTTGGCGAAATTCTGCAACACAATTCAGCATTTTTCTTTCTTCAAAAGCACAGCCATGTTTGACACAGAGAGAGCCAGTGCGCCTGCGTGGACTGGCTATTGCCCGTGGATGGGCGTGGGTCCTGCGCGTGCATTCACTGACACTAGCGATAAATAACATAGGCTTTTACACTCATATATTGAAAGGGATTTCTTAAGATGTGGAGTAATGTTATACTGCTACAAAATGAATTCATGTTTGTTTGTTTGTTTGTTTGTTTGTTTGTTAAACTCCTACGCAGACTATGCAAAAGTTTTATTTTGTTTTTATGATGCCACAATCATGTAAATGTTTCAAAATAATATTCAAAATAATATTTTATGTAGCCTTATATGTGATAACGATTAACCTTGAACGCAGATCGTCACTGCATTTCACAGGTTTTTTTTTGTTTTTCTCTTCAGGTAGCCTAAAGTTGGGACAGGTGATCGACAAAAGTGAGACAGCACTGTATAAGTTTGAAAAGTTACATATGTATATTTACTTTACGACAAAGTCCCTACTGGCATGTCTATCAGCTGGCTATGCTGGTTTTGGTTGCGAGCTGTGGTATACCAACCAGCTACCACATCAATCTTCGACTCACCAGTCCAAATGAGACTGGTGAGTCTCTTTTGGATCAGCTAATGACCACAAATTACCCACATAGTAAATAACCATATGAAAATACCAAATGACATGGCTCATATTAGTTTAGGCTAAATAATGTTCATAACCCATCAAATGACTAAGGTATTTATAAGATCCTCGCAATTAAATTACATAATGCAATGTTTCTACAATAGGCTATATACAGTATATATATACCAAGTATATATTTTTGAAATTGTCCATACATGCATTTTGTTGTTTGTGTATTCTTTTTTTCCCATTGAGAATAAAGCAGTACAATGACACTGAATGATTACCATATTCACATACTATGGTATTTACCAAGGTGCTTCCAAGATGGCATGGTAAATTTTGTTAGTAGCTAAATGACATTTCTCAAGGAATGTTGCCGTTTTCAAATTTCAAGACTTTTTTCATGTCTCTACTCATCCTATGATCACCCCAAAACAACAACAGTATGAAATTGCTCAATGACATCATGGTGTTTACAGTGACTCATTGTGAACTCATACCTGAACATGTGACGCACAGGTAGATCTATACTTCTCACCTGTCCCTCATCATACATGATCAAATATCAGCAATTCTTGTGATGGCTATGACATGTTGGTTTAACAAACAATATTCACCATATATGGGCTGAGAGGCAAACAACTGGATGGTGTCAGTGTGTGGATATTGTGCAATCCTTGACTTCCCATATAAGGATAAATCAGGATTGCACAGTAATTAACATGTTACATTTATGTGAAATAGAAATGATGGACTTTATTTTAGTTCCAGATACATTTAGTTTTGATTTTGATGTAATTTGATCTAGTCTAAAGTATATATATATAAAAAACATTTATAACTAAGTGAAGGTCAGCAGGCATTCTCCCCCAAATGTAAATGCACCGTTATCTGTGTTTACATATCCAGGAATAGACAAATCAGTTTTACCTCTTGCATAGAAAATCTGACTCAAAAGGTACTTCAGTATTCATAGATCAACTGTGTTTATTTTCTAAATGACTTTAAATATCAGCTTAATCAGTATACGCTTAATGGTCCTTTCTGACACTGTCATGAGCATTATATTTCTCTTTAAATATAGATAAAAAAATATCTCTGTACCTCTTTTTATTTGATATTTGTGTACTATGTTAAAACTAAAAATCGCTTCATTACATAATTAATTATATGATATACTTTTGTGTCAGTTAAAATTAGTCAAATCAAGCCAAAATTAATTACATTCCATAATTTTTTATGCAGCATATTAATTTTATGTCAAACAAGTTTTGTGTGTGTGAAACAAGAAGCTGATTTCACATTTGTTCTGTCTTTTTAGGGACACACATATCATAGTCGTACCCCCAACCAACGCTCAAAATCATGAGCAATGTTACTGGTATTTTTCAAAGAATTTCCCAGATTGGCGGTTGCCATATTCTTCCCAGAAACACCGATAAAAAGTCATTTCAGCAATCACCCATCGATATCCTGAGTTTCGTTTTCATCTCTTTCATGCTGTAATTGAGGTGGTTACCCTGAGCTACAGAGAGGAAGTGCTGGGATGAGAGAGTGTGTGAGACGCGAGCCCCTCCCATCTCCCTCCAGTATAAATGCACTAACTCCTGCTGAGGAGAGTCAGACTATTAGCAGAGTATCAGCGCTGCACCAGCAAGTCAAACGCCTCTGGATTACTTTCTACACAGACTTCTGAAGCCAGCCCGAGAGTACTTCAACACAGGTATGCATATGTGTTTCTGTTAGTTGCTCAGTGTCTTTTCTTTTGAGGTCAACATGCACAGGATATCTGTACAGTTGTGTAAGAAACTGAGCCTCAGTTTTGCATCTATAAGCCAGGAAAGTAGCTTCTGTCTGTTAGGCAAAATACTTTTTTTATTGGGTGCTGATGGAGTTGTAGACACTCTGCTTTGTAAAAATCCACTGTTTTGTACATGGCTGTCCCTTTTGCAGCTCATCAGGGACCTTGCGCATAGTTGCAAGTTTACTTATTCATAGAAAGTGCTTGACATTGTAAATAAATGCACGATGAGTGTAAATAGCTTGGATTTTGGACTCTTGTGCAAGCGTGAGCAAAGCATGGTTGGCACAGAGTAGGGGAGTTGCATGCAGGTGATTGGAGGTTTCAGTTGCTTTCTGTCAAAGTGGATATCTAACAGATGATTCATTTGCTTTTTCCTTCAAGATTTCAGCCACGATGCAACTGATTCTGCAGTCAATCTTCTGCTGCTGCCTGCTGGCCACCGTTGCACCCAGTGTGGACAGTGCAAAACACGACCTGAAAAGAAGGTAAGCTGATGCGATTTGATTTGGGTTTTTTAGTCATGTTCGGCATTGGTTGAAAAGTTTCTAATGAAAATGGCTCCTCTTCTTGATTCTTAGTGTCCGGCTGCAGAGATCAAAAAGGGATTTGAGCCTTGCTGCACTGAGGACTTTAGACAACAGCCAGTTTGTCAGAGAGGACGATGTCAAAGACAACTTAAGGCCACTTTCCAGGTAAGCAAAAAGTTATGTGTGGTGGTTTCACATGATGGAGTCAACCAAGTAACGTCAAAAACTAAGGCTGTATGCCAAATGAAATTGCTCAGGAACACCGGGCATGGCATTAACGTCCTCTTCCCCTGTCTGTCTTTCCAGCACTGGCATCAGCATGAGGACAAAACGCTCCAAGAACTCCATCAACCAGTCCAGGAGAGCGGGCTGCTCGCTTGGCACCTGCACAGTGCATGTTCTGGCACACCGTATCCATGACCTCAACAACAAGCTCAAGATCGGGAATGCACCCGCGGACAAGATCAATCCCTTCGGGTACGGCCGGCGGCGAAGGTCCGTTCCAGCGAAAGTAATGACACTGAGACAGGAGGGCAAAGGGCTGAGGACGGAGTGGAGAAGCTCGAACTCTCAGTCACGCCTGCACAGTTTAGAAGCGCTACTCAGACGGACGTGAGCGCACACAGAGCGGGAGCTCTCCGGGACTCGGCGACAGAGGCTCGCCGGCCAAATATCAAATTCTACAAATGCCTCAGACTCCTGCCAAGAGTTCTCCAGCGCATTCTTTTCCAAGCACAGGGGCTGGAAGAGCAATCTTGTCTCCTGAAGGCTGTCCTCGGAGGAGAAAACGTCCAAGAGAAGGGCAGAAACAACAGCAGCTGTTCATCAAGAACCGTGAAAAAAAAATGAGGGGAGATGCCGATGGGGCAGCTGAATAAGTGTGCCTTGGATATCATTGCACTGAAGTGGACTGGCCTCAGGGAAAAGCAGAACCTCCTCTCCTGGGACAAATGGACTGCCCTCCTGGTGAACCAGTCGGTGGGATTACGGCCCCGAGTTTAGCTGTGCCTGTCCAGTGACTGTGTCAGAAAAGTCTTTGGACTTCAAGCCAATTCAACAGGGAAAGATTCATGATTCTAGAAAGGAATACACAGAGAGAAAGAGACTTTTTTTAAATGCCAATGAAGGTGTTTCTAATTTGGAATCACATTTTTGGACACTGTAAGCAAGATGAATGCCTTTGATTATTTGGATTGTCTGTGCCAGTCCACAAGGATTGTATTCGAAATTACTTGAACACTGTTATTGTTATTATTTGTATAGAGATATGTGCAATCTATTTCCTTTTTTTATCGCAAGTATATGTATATTTGAAAACAAAAATGGTCAAAGATATCACTATTTAATAGTTTTATATTACTTTATACTACTTACAGAGATAGAGCTATTTTTGTACAGGGAAAGAAATAAGGGCATTGAAGGTAGCGTTATTATATATATTATTCATTTATGTCAAGGATGTCTCAAGCTGTTGTAATAGGATAACTTTTTATGCAATTATATATTTGTAAATTGAATCTATTTTATTTGTGTGCGCGTGCGTGTGTGTGTGTGTGTGTGTGTGTGTGTGTGTGTGTGTGTGTGTGTGTGTGTGTGTGTGTATGTGTGTGTGATAAATGAATTAATGTTGTCATTCAATAAACTTTTGCATACAGTTAAAGCTGATATCTTCTGGCACTCGTCTGTTTATTCCACAGGAAGTGAAGGTAGTAAAAGGAAAGTGTCTCTCCATTGTTCCCCATCTGGAATGCCAGGTGTACAGACAGATGATCAGCACCTGGTCTGGGTTATAACATGTTGACCTGGTTTCACAGACAGGGCTTAGATTAAACCAGAATTAGGCCTGAGTTCAATTAGGACATTTAAGTAGCTTTTATAAATATGCCATAGAAAAGAAAAATTACTGGTGTGCATCTTGAGACAAAACAATGGCATTTAAGTTATGGCAGTGCAAGTTGCTTTCAGTTAAAACAGCTCCAACATTTAGTCTGAGACATTTTATGTGAAACCGGGGGGTTAAAGGCCCTGGAGGGCAAACGGGGTACCAAGTGCATTCCTTCTTTCCGTTTTCCATACCTACTCACCTCAAGTTATCTTTAATTGAAGGAGCTATGGGCCAGGACTGTGTTTAATGGGAGCTCTGCAGGGGACGGGTTTGTGGGATGTAGAGCAGAGTTGAGAGGCGCTCCATAGGACATTCCACTTAAACACATAATTTCCATTCCTGTCTTAATGAGATGGAACTTCCGAAATACACTTTTTACTGTTGCACTCGTGTAGTCTTATTATAAAAGCACCATATGATGCTAATCACAAATGAACACGTACCGTGTCAGGAAAACATTGAGTTTTCGTTTAAGAACTATCCAATGAATTCAGGATGAAAAGGCAAATGTTTCTGCTGTAGCCTTCCGTTGATAAACTGTTCCCGCCAAAGCTGGGTTGTTTACATTTGTCGATTTATTGTGGTAGTCAGTAAGCCTGGAAAATCGGACACTTTCTGATGCCAAAAATCTTAAATCAACACAGCCAACATTCACAACAGCAACTTCTAGAGTCAAAAACAGCAACTTTTTATAACGAGTTTATGTTTTCAGTGTTCCTCCTGGTGATAAGTTAGGCACTCTGACTAACTTTTGTGGTTTCTAAAATATTTGAAAAAACCCAACTGAAAAATATACTTATTGTTGAAATTGTTCATTTGACTAAAGCCTTTTTCAAGGGGGTCAGACACTCCCAACCATAATTCTCACCTTGCAGCTGAAAATAATGTATTAAATCATTATATAATTTTAATGCTATAGCTCCACCTTGTGGTTATATTATTATTGGAGTTGGCGTTCTTTTGCTTAGAATTTCCAAATGTATTCTGGGACTGATGCCATCTGCCTCACTCATCCACACCTCATTAATCTTCACTTATGTCAGTGAATATCAACCAACAATCAACACAACAACTCATTCATACTTTGGAGTCTGTATATATTCAGATTAGAGGTCAAACAGTTTTTTTTGTGTGTGTGTGTGATCTTGTGACCAAAACTATTACTCCCAAAGTTTTGTAAAGTCAGTTTTGGTGTGCCTTGTTGTATTAAATTAAATCAATATAATTCGAAATGCTATCTACTTCCCTCAAATGCACAGGTCAGCATTTCACTAGTCCTAAAATGATAAATTTATTAAATTAATAAATTAATTAATTTTTATTAAAAAGAACAGCTGAACATCAGTTCACAAATAAAATAAATTGTTTAAATTGTTATTGCCTTTAATTATTATTTTGGAATAGATGTAAAAATGCTTAAAAACTAAATTGATTAGGCCTATACTTTGTTTTAATAAAAATAACATTATATAAATAATTAATGTAAAAATACAAAATAGAATTGTATGTGTATATATGTACACAATACAATTTATTAAACAAACTCAAATCTCAAGAACAGGATCAGAGAAACAGGAACATGAACAGAACAACCTACTAAACGCAACGACGACAGGCAAGGGAACAGTCTGAAACACAGTGCTTAAATACACAGAGAACAGATCAGGGAAATGAGACACAGCTGACAAGACTAACGAGTAATTAAATCAAGGGTCGCATCGGTTCTGGCAGGTCAGGTTAGTCAAGCTCGCATCAGCTGATTCTCAGCTGAGTCACGTACCTACAGGCCCTTCTCAAAAAATGAGCATATTGTGATAAAGTTCATTATGTCCATAATGTAATGATAAAAATGTAACTTTCATATATTTTAGATTCATTGCACACCAACTGAAATATTTCAGGTCTTTTATTGTTTTAATACTGATGATTTTGGCATACAGCACATGAAAACCCAAAATTCCTGTCTCAAAAAATTAGCATATCATGAAAAGGGTCTCTAAACGAGCTATTAACCTAATCATCTGAATCAACTAATTAACTCTAAACACCTGCAAAAGATTCCTGAGGCTTTTAAAAACTCCCAGGCTGTTTCATTACTTTAAAACCGCAATCATGGGTAAGACTGCCGACCTGACTGCTGTCCAGAAGGCCATCATTGACACCCTCAAGCAAGAGGGTAAGACAGAAAGAAATTTCTGAACAAATAGGCTGTTCCCAGAGTGCTGTATCAAGTAGGGATGGGGAAATGAAGCCTCGTGAATCAATGAGGCTTTCCCCTGACTGTTCCGGGAAAAGATTCAAAGCTTCGAGAGTGTCGAGAACAGCGCCATCTGGTGCTTATTTAAAATAAAGCAGCCAGAAGCCTGTGTTAAAAGCTCTGTCAGATGAAGCAACCACAACACACTCCATAATTGCAATGTTATGTGTAGAAATAAAAAGCCTTACACGTTTGTGTTTGATTTGTCCATTAATAAATACATTATTTTACCCATTAAAGTGTGTGACAATAAAATATAAAATGAGCATATGATTTAATAAGATCTAATGTAGGCCTACTCTCTCTCTCCACTCACACACACACACACGCACGCACGCACGCACGCACACACACACACACACACACACACACATATAGTGAATAAGGACATTGTGTGATAGGATCATCTGTTCATCTGACACTTGGCAGTGATGGTGCTTATGTAACTGTTGGAATGACAGAAAGGTGATAAAGATTTTAATTATTCTGTAATGTCAATGTATATAGATGGGGGTAGACATGTTTCTGCATTCTCCAGTATTCAAGTGGATCTTCAGCTCTTTGTATGTTTGTCTCTGTAAGGTATTTATCCACTTCTACGATCGCATCAGAAGTGGCATTTGAGCTTTGTTTGTGCTGGTCTACAGCACTTTCCAACAGAAGCCAAAGGTTTCCACAGAAGTGTGAGGATACATTTTTTTTTTGTTGGGAGTGACTGTACATGTACATTGACTGAATATAAGACACATCAACGGTCAACAATTATACAATACAATGATAAAAAATAAAATAATACTAAATAAATAAATAAATATTTATTTCTTTATTTCTTTTTTAGAAATGCATTCATACATTGGAGCTATAAGCTCAAAATATTCCCAGTTAGGGGAAGTCTTCCTTTTTTTGGCTGTTGCCATTGCTGTAAATATAAACCCGTCACCAAACACCCAAATACCAACACCAAATTACCTAAAAAACACCAAAAGTGCAACAATCTTACAAAAACAAAAAGACACAACAACAACAACAACAAAATAATAAGTAGTTTTGGTTATTTAAATGTAATGTATTGATTAACTTTCAAAGTACAGCACTCTCCTCACAAACCCATCAACCAGACTGAGCCAACAAGGACCTTCAAACCATCCGACACCCAAAGCGAGATGCGCACGTGATTGGACAGAAAGTGAGGCTTCGTTTGTCATCGATCACGTGACCTCTGGGAAACCAATACACACCCCGATACGTGGCTTCATTAGAAATTGCTTCGCTTTCGCGATACGCACATCGAAGCTTCAGTGTCATATGTAACATCACTAGTATCAAGGCACCTCAGTGGGAAGTCTGTGGGAAGGAAAAAGTGTGGCAAAAAACGCTGCACAACGAGAAGAGGTGACCGGACCCTGAGGAAGATTGTGGAGAAGGACCGATTCCAGACCTTGGGGGACCTGCGGAAGCAGTGGACTGAGTCTGGAGTAGAAACATCCAGAGCCACCGTGCACAGGCGTGTGCAGGAAATGGGCTACAGGTGCCGCATTCCCCAGGTCAAGCCAGTTTTGAACCAGAAACAGCGGCAGAAGCGCGCGCCTGACCTGGACTACAGAGAAGCAGCACTGGACTGTTGCTCAGTTTTTGCATGTCATTCGGAAATCAAGGTGCCAGAGTCTGGAGGAAGACTGGGGAGAAGGAAATACCAAAATGCCTGAAGTCCAGTGTCAAGTACCCACAGTCAGCTGCTGGTGTTGGTGCACTGTGTTTTATCAAGGGCAGGGTCAATGCAGCTAGCAATCAGGAGATTTTGGAGCACTTCATGCTTCCATCTGCTGAAAAGCTTTATGGAGATGAAGATTTCATTTTTCAGCACGACCTGGCACCTGCTCACAGTGCCAAAACCACTGGTAAATGGTTTACTGACCATGGTATTACTGTGCTCAATTGGCCTGCCAACTCTCCTGACCTGAACCCCATAGAGAATCTGTGGGATATTGTGAAGAGAAAGTTGAGAGACGCAAGACCCAACACTCTGGATGAGCTTAAGGCCACTATCGAAGCATCCTGGGCCTCCATAACACCTCAGCAGTGCCACAGGCTGATTGGCTCCATGCCACGCCGCATTGAAGCAGTCATTTGTGCAAAAGGATTCCCGACCAAGTATTGACTATTGAGTGCATAACTGAACATAATTATTTGAAGGTTGACTTTTTTTTGTATTAAAAACACTTCTTTTATTGGTCGGATGAAATATGCTAATTTTTTGAGACAGGAATTTTGGGTTTTCATGAGCTGTATGCCAAAATCATCAGTATTAAAACAATAAAAGACCTGAAATATTTCAGTTGGTGTGCAATGAATCTAAAATATATGAAAGTTAAATTTTTATCATTACATTATGTAAATTAATTAACTTGATCACAATATGCTAATTTTTTGAGAAGGACCTGTATAGGAATACCACGCCTATCACTACATATAGAAGCTCCTTCAGTTTTATCAGCAGCTATAGCGTTTCTCAGGAGCTAATTA